CGGCTTGCATGTGGAAAGCAGCCTACGCTGGAAACTGTTTAGTCTTCGAGACTCTGGGTGAAGGTGAAGAGTGCGGAGCCGCTAACTACGTCCTCTATCACTTTACAGCTGAAACCTGAGACTGTCACCTTCCTTATGTCGGATGAATAACCACATCACTGAAATCTTCCCTTGCTTCAGAAAAGAAATTCGATTCCTTACAGTGGCTTACTCTTGATTTTAATTGACTTAAGATCAGATTTTCGGGGTTTCAGAAGAGATTTTGTAGAACATTTCCTGCTAATGTTTATAACCTTTTAATCGTACAACACACAAAAACAAGAGGGTTTGTTCTCACGAATGGAAGCAAATATGCGTGCCCCAGGTTCTTATTGATAACTGGGACGGCAATTCTATTACTTAGAGCTTTTGGCTTCACACAAGAGGCCATCGTCTGGGAAAACAAGAAAGCAGCAAGCGGTGGCATGTTTTTTTAGTCTCCCACGAGCCAATCACGAATGCCATCCCCTCACTTGGCACCATTTGCTGTTCTCTTACTTCTCTGACGATGGCCTCTTTTGTGAAGGCGAGAGCACAGAATGATACAACTGCCGTCTCAGTGATCGCGTCTTATTTCTTCCTTACAGGATTTGTTCTATAGTATTAAATAGCATAGGAAATTTCTTCGATATGCGGCGACCTCCGGTCTGCAGTTTCCCCATCTGTGCATTCAGTAATCCTTTGATCATTTTCGATTTTTCACCTCTATCTTCACTCGACACTAGTTGCCTCCTAGGTTTTCCCATCTATCTGATATCTGTGTTTTCTTCGTCTCAGATACCGGTACATTACAGAAACAGAGGCCATGGAATACTTGCAGTCCGTCAGAACTCGTAAGTTGCAGAGACATTTTGATGTTCACACTAACCCCCCTCCCCCCTTGTCTTTATAGAAGCCTCGTCATCTGGCCAAAGCAATTTCTGTAAGTTGACTGTTACTTTTTGTGGTTGTCTTTTGAAGCTCATTTGTGTCTTGAGCTGCTTCAAGATCCCGCTCTCCTTCCTCACCTCACTGTCTTCTTTCACCTTCACATTGTTCTTCGCCATTTTATTTCTGCAAAACTAGACAGATCAGCAGTTTTTAAATTTTTCTGCTTTACCTGTATTCCCCTCTCTAATCTTTTCCCCTTTGAGAAACGTAATCTGTATATTTACATTTGATTTCGCATACCGTCCTTCTCTTACCACCTTTCTCCATCATTTACTTTATTTGTTTTTCTGTCACACCCTTTTACCTTTTCCCGCTTTCCTAAATTATACTTTCTAGTTAATCAACGAAAAATTCGGCGGGACTTCATATTGAAGAACTTGGAGGAAGTGAAAGTCTATCCGTCGCTGTGCTACCTGCGGCAGTTGATATGGCACGAAGAGGAGAAGGAGGGACTCACGGGCAAAATGGACAGGAAATCGCTTCAGCGGATCATTGAGGGGCTGCTGAAGGAGAAACTAGTCAAGTTCATAACGATGAAGATCACGGACAAAGACGAGGTAATCATCCCATCCTCCCCCCCCGATGCATTTTCTTTTTGCACTTAACATCAGTCACTATTGTAGAAGGGCCTGAATTGAGAAGACGAAGATTCGATCGCTAGGATAACACTTTCATTCGCTTGACGTTTCGACATTCTTCGCGGATTCTTCATCAGAGGCATGCGCAGAAGGCAATAGCAGAAACGAGTCAAAGGGCTGAATAGAGTTATGTGTGCTGATATACATGTACAATGGGTAAAAAGTTGCATGCAAAAACGGGTTTGGACAACTATATGACGGTATTTGCGTAGCCTCGCGTGGCAATCTTGAAAAATCAAATGGATCATTCTTTTGCCGCGTTGGAACAGTTTGAGTCCCGCCTCCTCCGTTT